GTTCTAGTTCTACGTGCCATGTCCAATGGATGTCAGTTGTCAGTTATCTCTTGTTAATTCCCCTCTCCAAGTTCTCCACCGCCTTAACCAGGTATTGAACTCACACTCTTTGGGTCCTGTCACTGAATCTAACCAACGCCTTTATCCATTGTGCCATGTGTCCTTGAGGACATCTGTGCATAATGTCTTCAGCATCATTTTTTACCAGTACCCATATTGCAATTTTTGCTGTTATGATTACATGGTTTTTACCAGAACTCATATTGCGATTTTTGTTGTTATTATCGCTTTTCTCTGGCGCTCCATATTACTGGTTTCCATATTGTATTCATTTCTATGCTTGGTCGGCTCAGGAGATTTTTGTGGCTTAGCAAATGTGCTGATTCCTTAAGTTTACGTATTTTCCAATGATGTTCTTTGTCTATGATCTCAACCTGATCCCCATATGTGTTAAGCCACGCCTGATTTTTCCACTTCCCTCGTGTTACAGATTTCTGGTGTTCTTGAAGCCTTAACATAGGAGTCGGCTTGGACCACAACACTCAGGAGGACAACAACACTCAGAAAATAGTCTGCCTTATTGTGAAGTGGTTATCAGAGAAAATACAAAGGATCTGCGGTTACATAACATCAGGAAATCCTAGTCTATATCTATATATATATATATATATATATATATATATATTTGGTTGGATAGATGTGAGTTTGTGACCCTAGGGTTTCACCCAGGGCGATCGTTGTCTGACGATCGCGTAAAGCGTCCAAACCAAATATGTTAACTCTATCTCTGATATTGAGCGCTTTCTAATAAGTACCGCGCATATAATATATAAATAATTATACATATATATATATTTATTTATATTTATATTCACTTTTTATATATATATATATATATATATATATATATATATATATATATATATATATATATGTCTTTCTGGAATCAAAGGGATAATGCATAAGGTACTTGATATTTAAAAAACATTCTTTCATTTGGACTGAAAACGACTAGAAATATGGCTGAACACGCAAATAGATACAAAAGCATCAATGATAATAATAATAATAATAATAAATAACAATTTTAAAACGTTCAGCACAGCTTCTACAATACGTAAGACACTCTTTTAACATCTATTGGGAAACATATACGGGCATATTTTACTTTCTCGTTATTTTTATTCGTTGTCACGCTTACTTTTGTAATTTCTCTTTTTTCTTATTTTTTTTTTTCTCATCCTTCTCTACCTCCTTTTACCACTCATAAACCAGGCCTCGTTTCCGTGCGAATCATTCGTATATGGAGCGGGTTGGTGTTGAGAAAAGCGTACAAAAGGTTGAATATGGCGCATACAAGACAACCGGGAAGCGCCATTTTGTTTAAACTCAATCAGTTCGAGAAAAACTGAAATACCAAAATATGATTTAAAAAAAAAAAAAAATCCAAAATGATTGAATAAAACGGATTATACAGAGAATGACACACACAAAGAATTGACGTTGCCTCCAGTAGGGAATTCTCGTTCCAATCGGGAAATTCTTTTCTTATAAGAAATCAGCAGTGTCCTCTGTGACAAAATGCTTAAATATTTACACGTCAGCTTGTCTATTAACGCTAAGCGTAAGGCAAAATCTACACAGATATAAGTATGTATTTTTAATTCTGTATTCGCTTTCTTTATTCATTCGATCAATGCACCTCTTGTTTGTGAAAAGGTAGATTGATATACTTACGATGTTTTGTTGTTTAAAAACTGAAACGCAACATATATATAGAGAGAAAGACTGTAATTTAATCCCTGGAAGTATTTCGAAGCCACGAGGACTAATATTTACAAAGAATAGGCAGAAAAACGAAATAAAATGGAAGGAGACTAAAACACATACAAGAAAGAAAAAAAGTGCGAGGAAAAAAAAAGTCCGTTCAATAGAATTATATATAAATAAATAAATAAAAATGCAAGTTGCATATTTCAAATGTTTTATATCTTGAGATGTTAGCAAAAATCTATTGGTTCGTGTTGAACACAGAGTATGTATTCAGCTGGTAATGTCTGCAAATAAATCTGCTATATATATATATATATATATATATATATATATATATATATATATATATATATATATATTCATTCACATACACACTGTTGATGAATATCAGAGCTCATCAGTGTGGCTAGACATCCGACTGCTTCAAGCCGTAATCGACATCCGACTAATTCGGCAAAAGACGGAGAGTTTCTCCTTGAGCCATCGGTGCAAAGTTGAAAGAAAGGCGAATTCTTACGTACTTATTCTGTGAATAAATACGCCAATTACTGAGAGAACGCAATTCAGTGAAGAGTAAGAGCCTTCTAAAGTTAGTAGTAATAGTCATTGTTTACACATTCGCACGTAACTTCTAAAAGTGCACAGCCGAATTTAAGTTTTTTTCGAGTGCGTATATATTGTTATCCACACAGAGATTATCACAGCTCATATATATATATATATATATATATATATATATATATATATATATATATATATATATCAGGTCATCCCAGTTCTGCCTGAATTTTGAATAAAGAAAACAAATGATCAAATGTTACATTTAATTACAGATTCAATCAACAATTTATTTTCCCTGATTATCTATGACTTCCTTCCATCTATTAACAGGCTTACTAATTCCATTACTGTAAAATTCTTTTGGCTTTGATTCGAAGAACTCACAAATGTCAGTTTTAACCTCTTCCTGTGTTACAAAAGCTGTATCTTCCAAATGATTCTGTAAGCTACGAAACAAATGGTAGTCTGAAGGAGCAAGATCGGGAGAATAAGGTGGATGAGGAATTTTCTCGCAACCAAGTTCTTCGATCTTTTGTGGCGTGATTCTTGCTGTGTGGGCTGCTGAGTTTCCTTTTTTGAACTCATAAAGCATTGTGTGCCTCAAATGATTCTTGGATACTTCCATGTTAGAAGGGTTTTAATCAAACAAAATTTAATTTTATTGTTCTCTGAAATAAAATTTCATCAGTTTAAATGCATCTAAACATAAAAATAATGTTCATCTCCATTAGACATTATAAAATACTCTTTAAATTTCGTTCATTTTAACAAAAAGTTAGAATTCGGACAGAACTTATGGGATGACCTGATATATATATATATATATATATATATATATATATATATATAAAAAAATATATAAAATATATAAAATAATATTGCACAAAAATATCTTGGAATGCTAAAGAATGCATTTATTCAATAAAATCACCATTGACTTCAGACACGGCCCCAGACGACTTCGGAATCTCTTGTAACTCTTCTGGTCGATTCCATTTTTTAAGTTGGTGAATGTGAATGGTACCATAAACCTTGCTTTCAGTTCATCTTTGGTGTTACTGCGAGTTTTTTTGGCCTCTCGCTCAACTGCTCCCCGCACATAATAATCAATGTGGTTGCAGTCTGGAGAGTTAGGTGGTCAGATGTAAGGGGTGATGCGGTCGCAGAAATTGCGTTCTCCTACTTGTGTGGCATGGTGCAGAGTCCTGCTGCCAGACATAGGGTCTTCGAGAAATCACGTTCTTGACTCAAAGG